CGTCATGTACGTCATTATGTCTCCGTAATACGTGTTCATATTTTTTTACATATTTGTCTAACCTTCCTACTTGTCAGTTTAAACGTGGAGGTCACGTGCATAGAAGACCAGCCTCTTCAACGTCCTCGTCCCCCGCCCTTTCCTCGTCTCCTGTCCTTTCATCTAACTCGCAACCACGATATGCTGATGGACAATATGGACACGTTGGTCCTTCCTCCAACGCTCAAGAACATGTTATGGGACTTGGCCACATGCCAACTCAATCTCCTCCAGTTCAATCACCTTTGGCTCCCTCTCCTTCCGTTCCACCTTATTATTCAGCGCAACATTCGCATAATGACGGAAACGAAGGTCAAGAAGATAACCAAATCCTGATATGCCCATTTGGAGATTCATAAGTACTTCAATTTTTTTTTTAGTATATGTAATATTTATGGCTTTTGATATAGATGTCAACTGAATTGTCGATGTTGCACAATATCCGTATGTTTGCAGATTCACGGATGCTACGTTTGTTGTGAGGGAACTGAATAAAATAATCAAAAACTATTGGATGGGGGACTATGTTAATTACAGAAGTGTTCCACAAGAGGTGAAAGATTTGTGGTGGAATGAGTTCAAGGTAAGTTTTAGATATTCTATTTTCTTACTAACTAAGTTCGGTGTAGTATATTGATGGTCAAGAATGATGTAAAGGGACCAGAACAGCTCTTTAGTTTTCGGTACTAAAGGGGAAAGAATATTTTCCCCGAGATGAACTTAACAAAGTCTATCGCCGAATTGTCTGGTGCATGGTAATGGATATGTGACCATCATAATAACTTTCAGTTTTGCTTGTATCGATTGCACCGGAAGTTCAGGTGGGATGACCAGCTCGAGAATGAAGTGAGAAGAATTTTTAAGAAGAAAGTCAGTGATCACATACGAAATGTGATGAATAGAGCGAAGAGCAGGAGAGTGAAGCCGGCTTTCATTACAGCTGACAATTGGGCGGAAATTAACAGAATTTGGGAAACTGAGAAGAGTCAGCAAATCAGTGAGCAGAATAAAAAGAATCGATCTTCTAGTTCTAGTGAAGGGTCTGCCACATATGCTGGGGGCTGTATCAACATTGGGGAGCATCGCAAACGATTGGTAAGTCTGTTAAATAAGTTATAAGTTAATTTAATTCAATTACTCATGTTTACATTTTGTAGGCACAAGAATTGGGGACAGAACCGACATTTGCAGTTACATTTGAACGCACATTTCAAAAGAAAGATAAGACATGGATTGGCGATCGAGCAAAAGCTGTTAAGGTATGTAAGGTTATACTTTGGGCTTTATGGAAACTAGAATGAAAACCGTAAATGCTTTTAATATTTATGGTAGAGATATATATGAAGTTATTTTATTTTCATCTATATTGTTAATGTAGGAAAAATATGATGAACTTTTAATGGGCAATGCTAGTGGTAGTGATGGTTCTGCAAGTGCGTCTGAGCCATCAGCTGACAGTATGGCATTATGGGTGGAGGCAACGGGTGGGGTGAAAAAAGGAAAAATATTTGGGATGGGATCCTTGTCAAGGATGTTCATGCCGAATCAAGCTGGAACTTCATCATCCAATGCGACTGGTCGAAGGAGGACACGACATGACGAGCAATTGACCCAAGAAGTGAACCACCTGAAAAATATAATTGTAGAGAGGGACGAAGAAATAAATGACTTGAAACAGCAAATGCAAATCGTTATGCAACACCTCAACATCAATCGAGGTCAGGTTCCTCCTGTACCTCCTGCCAATCCAATTGGTGATGAGCACAATGATGAGCGACACAATGATGCTGACATTGATGATGATGCTGATGATTTTCTCGGTCCTTTCTAGTTGAAATTGCCAAAACCGGGGGTAAGCTTGCTTCACACTCTTTATGACATAAGTACAGTTTCACCAAATTTGTTCCTGCCCTACAATTACTTTTTGCGCACAACTTTCTCACAACTAGGTTCAAGGATCTAATTTTTCCTATGTGACAAAAATACGGTTTACAAGGGTGAAAAAACTACAGTGGATGTCAAAGTTGACTCATACTCATATGTAAGAACATTGATGTTCGTCCTGAAACGTTTTTTTGTTAACCCTCTTACTTGTTTTTTTATACCTAGTTCCACATCCATGCATAAGCACTTCTTTTATATTCTGTACTGACTGAATATCTTTATTTATGTATCCACATTTCATCAGGTGTCCACAAAAGTGACTGCTTTTGGTGTCCTGCCGAGTACCACAACTGCCCAATCTTGTGTCTGGTTTGTCGATTTTTCATTTTCTAAGCATCTCTATGGTTGTCCCGCCTCCTATGAATGTTTTGAATGTATTATAAGATTGGATATCAAATATCATCGTGTCAGGCTTTGCAACTTGATATATATCATTATTTTTTGCGGACTAGCATCTTTCCTTCAGTTACATTTTTCAATTATATGGCTTTGTGTCTGGTTTGTTCGTTTTCTATTTCTGAAGCGGAATCTACGGTTTTCTCGTGTCCTTTGACTGTTTTCAATGTATTACATGATGTTCAATAGTCCGTAGCAATTGATATGGACAAGATTTGATGGCCGAAATGCTGTAAAATTTGCGATGCATATTTACATAAGAATTTTGCGACCATTACAGTTCGTGGCTAATTTGCGACGAATAAGTAGCGACGAATCAAGTTCATGCCTAATTTCCGTCCAATACATTTTGCGACGAATTTTGCCACAAATTTTGCAACGAATTTTTTTTTCCGTCGCAAAAATTTGCGACGACCTAGTAGTCTGTCGCTAAATTCGTCGCAAAATCGATTTGCGACAGATTTTTGCGATTTTTTCGTCGCAAAATCCGTCGCAAAGAACATGTTTTTTTGTAGTGATTTTCGACTACCATAGCTCTTTAATGGGCTTTGGCCAAAGTTTAATTCACCCGGGTTTAGTCCAATTAATCTAATTAAACTCAAAACCCCCTACCTGAGTCCATTAATTAAAATTTATATGGGCAAATTAAAATGCAGTTTATGTAAGCTTATTACTATTAATGCGCAGGGATAATGACACAAATAATCCCTTAACTTTGGCTCAATGTGTAATTTGGCCCATGAATTTTTAATTTGTTTAATGTAGTCCCTGAACTCTGGCCTATATTGACTACATTGAACATTTTTACATAGTTCAATATTTTCATATAGTTCAGGGACTAAATTGAACATGTACCAAAAATTCATGAACCACATTGAACAAATTACAGTTCACGGACCACATTGAACATCAAGCTAAAGTTCAGGGACTATATTGAATAAATTAAAAGTTCAGGGATCAAACTGCATATTCGGCCAAAGTTCTGGGACTGTTTGTGTCATTTCCCTAATGCAAAATGATCTTAATATGCAGATGTAATTTAATAGTAAATTTGTTTAGGAGTCGCCAAGAATTAAGTGTCAACAGAATTGGACAATGATCCGGTTTGGTTTTGGGGAAATAACAAGATTGTCAAGAGCTGCTCAAATACAGCGTCGGCCCGATTCAACCGATTGACTCGGTGTTGAACCGGACAACGGGTTGACCGGTTCTTTCGACATTATAAGAAAAACATGTCCATCTTGCACGAGCAACGTTGGATCCTCTGTACACTTGGACGGTTAGTGGGCTCTTTTTCCACAGGGTGGACCCCTCTTTTTTGTTTAATAGCTACGAGTTATTTTATTTACTGTTTAAACAAGTGAACATGCATAAGTAAGATGAGGGTATCCACATCGTGACCTCCAAATTGTGAATACATGGTCTCAAGCATCTGAGCTACGTGATGGATGCTTCTTAGGAAGATAATTTTAATTAATAAATCAAATTAATCGCAATAAAAAGTGCAAAACCGGGTTGCACTGGTTGACCCGTGAACTGCCGGGCCCGCCGATTCTTTAATCGGGTTGGTTTCAAAGCAGTTGCAAGAAGTGATCGCCGGAGCGAGAATGCTCAAATAAGGTGTAGCTCTTGACAAGCTTTGGTACCGTGGAGGGGGAAAGATTGGATTGAACCACACGATGAATAAAGAGAGTATTTCTAGGTGGAAGAGCCAACACTCATAAGGACGTCAGTGGTTGAAATGGGAGAGTTTAAGACACTTTGTCTCCCAACGGATGAGGGAAAGTCTTGTGCTATTATTCGTATGTAAGAACCGGATTCACATGGGCATGATCATGTAAGATTATTCAGAGATTTCGGTGCCGTAAATTGGGTGGGCTCTATGACAAGATCACGAGAGAGAGAGAGAGAGAGAGAGATATGGGTGAAGACAACGGCGAGCGTGATGATGGTGCTGGGTGACAAGGTAGGGAGATATGGGTGAAGAGTGAAGACAACCTGTCTCTCAGCGGATGAGTGAGGTCTTGTGCTGTCATTCGTAAGTAAGATCCAAATTCACATGGTCATAATCAGGTAAGGTTACTCAGAGAGATTTGGCGCAGTAAAATTGGTGGGCTCTATTACAAGTTCACTTTTGAGAGAGAGAGAGAGAGAGAGGGGTGATGACAACGGCGAGCACGATGATGGTGCTGGGTGACAAGGGAGAGGTGATTCTGATACACATCAATTTTCCGGCCCCGCTATTATCGGCTACATTCAAGTGGCTTTGAGGTCAAATCATATCATTTTCAAATCTGTGGGGGAAGAGAGACTTGGGTGTTAGGTTTGGAGGGTGCCTTATTTTATTCTCTTTTTATTTTGTATGATTATATCCGACATGATATTTGATGTTTTATCAAATAAAAAATAGATTATGACAATTCCTTACATTTTTTTTATGTCCTAATCATTGTTCTGCGATCAAATACAGTAAAAAAGCATTGTTGTTTCAGTTTTTTCCGAGTAATTTCTGGGCGATCCTTTGCTCCTTTCTTGCTGAATCTACTTCTCAGGGGTCAACTCTGCACCTTATGAACTTGCCGGTTACTTGCTGAGGAGAACTTGTGGTCCAGAATCTACCGTGTTATCTCTAAGAATGATCGTACCGTTATCGTAGCCGGGCAAGTTTAAGATGCATCTCCACATTTACAAGGTCAAGATCTCCATTTCAAAACTGGTCAATACTCATCCCCTTCTCTCTATGCTTTCTGTATTTGTTTATCTATTGACATAGAATATAGAGTATAGCCTATATCTCCTAAGAAGCAACATCTCTGGTTTAATATACATAAGACCTAAGCAAGAACACAGAGGGGAAGACGATTCATCTGACGAAAGGGCTCCAAGGATGATGCCGAGAGTGACGAAGATGACGATGACTCATCTCACCACCGTCCGACAGGAGACCTCCACACGTCTCGTCTGCACTCGCCATTGTTTGCCACGTTCTTCTTCTTCCCCTCCACCATCTTCACAACACTTTGGAACACCGGAACGATGCACGGGATCCTCAAGACGCCTGTCTGCTGAAACCCGAACTCCTCCTCTGCCTTTCGCAGCAAGAACCCGAACGCCGCGTGGCCCAAGAAGTGTGTTGGGATGACAAACCTCTCGAGCTCTTCGCCGACGCAGACTGCGAGGTAGACTTTCGGGACAACTTTACTGTTGCCGCCGCTGTGCTTCTTTTTGTTGCTGCCGTCGTCTGACGATGATAGAGAAGAGATGGTTCTTTTGAGGAAGCTGATGCTCTCGTGGATGCCGCCGTGGTTCGGGCTCATGATACTGGCGGCTGTTTTGGTTTTCAACGAGTTTGCAAAGTTCCTCCACTTCTTAAGGAGCTGCCGTAGTCGAACCACTTCGCTGATCTTGTTAGCCTTTTTAGGGGACTCCATGGCTTCCTCAAGAAGAAGAAGAAGAACAAGAAGAGAGGTTGCGGTATGCCCTAATCTAAGAAACTGGGCTCTTGCAGTTTATAGGAGTAGCTGATCTTGAGATTGAGAACGACAGATCGTAAAAAGTAAGCATTCACACGATAGCTTCGTGTCTAGGGTCGCGATCCAAAGTAACACCTAATAGCAACACAATTTCTATTTCGTTGAGTAGCTTGTGAAAGATTTTGTTTTGGACTATGCTTCCAAACAAATTATACGTGCTCCTTTAGGCAATTCTTTTCGCAAATCAAAATCAACCATCCAAAATTGAATTGGAATGCATATTTGGTACACGCAATTAAACTTTCCCTAAGTCATATACGTACCAATAAAAAAGAAGAGAAAAATTCACATCAGAAGTTCCGCCATGGACTACTTCATAATGTGATGATAAACAAGACATTTGCATAAGCATTTATTCTCCTACAAATTTTTGTCTTAGTCTCGGTTTATGTTTATTTAAAAGAAATACCTAATTGTTAATCATCGAAACTCAATAAGAACGTTAGCAAGTATTGGTCGGAGAGACTAAATTCACCCATTTATTTACATGGACTAAAACCAACAATACAAGTATAGAGGGTCGTTGGGTATAATATGCAGAGTGTCTAGGTAATTTACTCCAATTATAACTAACCTACAAAAAGGGAAATATGCGTAGGTAGATCTCAATACATATATGAAGCTTTTAATTCTTAACGTCATCCTCACTATATCCACAGGTGGACTAAGTTGACAAAGCAACACTTATACGCCTTTTAATGGAAAAGGAAAAAATGAAGGAAGACAAAAAAGGGGGGAAGAAATTTTTGGGCTCCCTCGTGACATTTGCATTGGATCATCATTAGGCTCATGATTCTTGATATGATTTATTTGCACAATACGGCAAGACATGCCAATTAAATAGATTTGAGCTTGACATAAATTATGACATTATTAAAATCATGCCTCATGCGAATTGACCTGCTTAACCCGTTTAGATACGAATTGACATGTTAATTAATCAGTTGTTTCAACACGCATCAAGACAATTCAATATGTGTATTAAACGTATCCTGTTTGAATTAGACATGATCATATTATTTTCTTATTTCAACAAGACACAAATTGTTAGTCTCTACTCATTATTTGGAGGGTGACTTGTCATTTTCAAAACTTATTCTAATTACTAATTGCATTTTCTCCCTCCGTTCTTCCCTTTGTCAAAAGTACACTTTCACTTTCTTTTTCCTCTGCTTCTGTTTTCTTCCTTTTTCATTTCCATCTTCACACTAGGATAAAAGAATGGCTCAAATTTCTTTTGGTGCACGCGCCTTATATTGAGATTATCAGAACTAGATATTAGGGGTGTACAAAAGAATGGAGAACTGCTCAGACTGCCCGGGACTGCCCGGAACCGGTGGTTCCTAAGAGAGTCGGTTCGGTCCCCAGTTCTAATTTTTGGGAACCGGTCCAGTTCCCGGTTCAAGGTGTGGAATCGCTTGCCCGCCCAGCCGGATCGGATCGGCAATATAATATATTTATTTAATTTTTAATTTTTTTAATAAAAAGAAAAATCCTAAATCCCTAAAATAAACCTAACTTGCTCGACGTTCACAGCTTCACATTAAGCCGAGAAATACCTTCTTTTACTTTCGTCTCACATTTACTCTCACTCTCACTCTGTCACTCTCCTCGGTCGATGCTCACCTCATGTCACGCCCCGAACCCCTTCGAGCACGCGACACACTTCTCTGGTCGAATGATGCGACATCCCAGGGTATCGCCGACCCAAATTTAACTTATCAGAGATTTATATCAACAGCGGAAACCACCAATACCCGGACAATAATAACTGGGGTAATCAGGGAGAATGCACATATTCATTTCTCATTCAAACTTATATAATATCCACAATTTACAAAACCACATATATATACAAGCACACCGCACCGCCACACTACATACCACCGATATAAAAAAGGATCGATAACCTGGGTACCCTATCACCAAAATAGTACGCTTCAAAATCCTATTCCACAACCCCTACATTAGCCCCTACGCCCTCTACTTGGCGTCCACTCCGAGTCTGATTTTTCGTCCTCTGAATCTGAATCCTCCTGAGTCTCCTGCTCGTCTGTCGGGTACTCTACCACGTTAATGTCGGTATTGCTACGGTATTGCAAAACGCTGCGGCGGCGGCGGAAGGTTCATTTCTCAGGTCGGGTTTCTAAAATGATTTGGTTGATACAACCATGAGACACTTCTCAATAAGTTGACAGCCTAAACCCCACTTAAGCTACCACGTATCTCCAGACAAAACATGCATAACGCAAACAACCAATCGTACTAACAATCACATGCGATCCTACCTGGGATCCATCATGCACATCCCTGCATGTCAGACAATAATACAGCCAATTCATTTATATCCATAATCATCCAGCAGCATAACACGCGAGGCAAACCACACTCGCACACTAACTCACGCCATGTGTCAACTTTCACAAGTCTCACGCGTCAAATCGAGTCCAGCTTATTCTCAACTTTCGATCTCTACCGCGCCCGCGTAAAACGCATCAGGCTAACGGTCTCCTGACCTCGTCAGGCATCGTCACCCCATCGGGCATCGTCACCCCGTCGGGCCGGGCATCGTCACCTCGTCAGGGACGGCATCGTCCCGCGTAAACGAACACGCCTCAGGACGGATCCTACATTCTCAACTTTCCTTCTCTACCGCGCCCGCGTAAAACGCATCAGGCTAACGGTCTTCTAACCTCGTCAAGCATCGTCACCCCGTCGAGCCGGGCATCGTCACCTCGTCAGGGACGGCATCGTCCCGCGTAAACGAACACGCCTCAGGACGGAACCTACCCCACGTAAACGAAAACGCCTCAGGATACCACTTTTCCAACCATTCCAATCATCTCGTATCATCGTACCACACGAGCCACGCGACCACACATATCACACAGCCACACAATTACATGCCCCACATACATTTCACCATCACACAATCACACCACACGGTCACACATACTCAAACATTAATTAAATGCACCCAATTCAACCATTTCAATTCATCCCCTAGAACATGCAAACACACATTCAGGCATCAATTCCCGTCATGAGGGCAGCAACTATTCAACCTCGACACCCCCACCATTCCGCTCATAAAAATGAACATCCATAGAATCAGGGTAAATCTGGGCAGTTTACACAGTGACCGAAATCCCATCAAAATAAATAGTAAACGAACTCAAAAAATTATAAATTTTGGATATATCATAAAATTTTTTTGATAAACATTTCTTATGAAGAGCACGAAATCTGGTTCAATCTGCAACCATGCCTTTTTGTCCCTTGAAGTCAGACCAGAATCAGTTCGCTCTAACAAACTGATTTGTCCTCAAAATACATTTCTTTCAACACACAAATCACCTTGAAAAGCTTTGAAATTTTTATATGTCATAGAAAAGAAAGTCGTCAACAACTTTTGTGAAGGAATTTTATTGAAAATATATCTGGAAAATTTTATAAAAATTCGACCAGACAAGAAGGTCGGGATGAACAGTGTTCCGGGCAGTTTTAATACGGTCTGAAAATGGGTTTTCGTGCGACCCAAATGGCCTCCAAAAATTCCAAATTTAAAATATGTTATACTTCAGGATGTGAGGAAAAACTTTCATGAGGGACACCACCCATGATTCTGCCTCCAAAAATCACTACAAAAATAGTAAATCGGGAGGGTACAGAAAACAAAATTTCGAAATTCACCCAAACTTCAAGGGTCCGAGTCCTTGTTGATACCCACCGAACTTCAGCCCTCAAAATTCATTCCACAAGGTTCAAACTACCATGCCACAACCATCATATAACATGCCATTTTTCACCACAAAACCATAACACAACGTTCACGGCATTACACGGCAATTTCACGCAATTAATTGCCGAATCAAACTATCCAATCTACGTGCCAAACAGAAAATCACAGCATCCAATCCAGCCAATCACAACCCTTATTTGGCCTCTATTTTACCACCAAAATACCACAATTTCATCCCTACGGCCCCTCATCCAAATCAGCCCCTAAAACCGACTAAACCGTGTTTAAACTAGTCCGTTAATACCCAATATCTTAACTAGGGTTTAGATTGCAACTTACTTGGAATCCCAAGCGCGTCCAAGTAAGAGAGAGAGGGTGGTAAGCCGGCGGTCACGCGGCGGCTAAACGGCGGCTACGGCGGTGGACGAACGGCTACCTTGAGCGGACGACGGATGAACGGCGATCGGCGTGGCAAGCTAGCCACTCTCACGGCCAAGGAAAGGAGGAGGGGGAACCGGCCAAGAAGAGAGGAAGGGAGGGGGAGACATGAGAAATGGAGGGAGAGAGAGAAAGAGAGAGAAAAAGAAAGAAAAACTAGTCAAAGTCTACCCCCGGGGAAATTACCATCTTGCCCTCCTCTCTACTTTTCAATCAACGGCCGAGATTCGTTCTTATCCTGAGATCGACGGCCGAGATCAAATCTTTTCCAAAAATATCCAAGGGCAATTTGGGAATTTCATAAAATTTCAAGGGCAAAAATGTCCTACCAAAAATTTAGGGCAAAATGACCAAAATGCCCCTCCCTCATAAAACATGCCCTTCATAAATTCCCAAGGGTAAAATGGTCACTTTTCCATTTTCTTGTCGAAATTGAATTTTTCTGAAGGATTTCGGGACAATCCAAAATTGCACGTTTCAACCACAACGTCATCCTAACGTCCCGTTGTGACTTCCTAATTTTCCGATGTCCAATTTGGGCTCAATTAAATAATTAAATTTTATTAAAGGCAACTCGAGCATTTCTCAAACTAACGGGCGACTTTTTGGGAAAATTCACATATTCGACCCGTGATTGATAATAAATCGAGTCACGTGCAAGTTCATTAGGTTCGTGACGACTTCGGTTCTCATTTAAATCGCGAGGATCGACCGCTAGACCCGAGGGGCACGATCGTTTGGTATAGGTTCAGGATCATCCGTCAATTCATTTCGTGGTCCCGCGGAATCACCTGCGACCACTACTATGACAGTGGCGAACTGACCCCTGGCTATCCTTGGATCGGCCAACAGTGGCTCAAAATGTCACCTCGACG